AAAAATTGCAGTTTGGTATGGCTAAACTAGAGTGTGTTAGGGCAGAGAAGTTTTATAGTAAAACTGAAAAAGTAAAAAATAAGAAATAAAAATAGAATGGGTATAATATTCTGTTAAACAGTGCAGTTATGACTGTATTGCATTTAGCTCAAAAAAAATGTAAGTAACTTCTGTACTGCATCTGCAGTTCCTTTGAGATATTATGTCACCTGCAGCAGAGTGCTGAATGCTGCCAAAGCTTTGATTTGTTGAAGTTTCAGTTAAATGGTGAACTAGGATTGAAAAAATAACATGACTGACAGTAAGCTACCACCATGTGTCAATATTTTCCTCAATCTGGTCTGTCTTGTATGTCTACAGGACCTTTCCCAAAGCATTCTCATGTGCCTGGTATAACCTGCAGAATTTTGAGCAGCTCTTAAACAGACAAGTAGTAGGGTTTTTTTATGATACAGAATAACCTATGTAATTCTACTTATACTGTGATAATTGGCTACTATACCTATTCTGACTAGTTTATTTTCCTTGGATTTAGCGATCCTAATGAGACACCATCAGTTGTTTAATGGTTTAATTTTTCATTGGTTTTAATTAGTTAATTCAACAATCAGTACAGTACCTTAGTATAGTGAACTGTTCATAGGATAGTAAATAGAATTAGGTCATGCAAATGCCTACCTCGGGGCTCTGGTAACAAGTTTAAAATTGCATTACTCTGTTTTGCCTTCCTAGAATTCCTCCACCTAATGGTAGTGTTTGATTTGCTTTTGAATACCGTACAAAATTAAAATGTCATTGTATTACATTCGTTTAAAATCAATAATATTTAAGTAAAGGTAAGTGGGGTTATAATGTGCCAGTTTTCAACTGAGGAATTCTTAGTTGTTTCATATGTTTCAGTATGTTATGCAGATTTTTTTTGTTTTTTGAGAAACACTGTTATTAAACATTATCCAAAAGAGGCAATAATAGTGCAGAAAATTAAAGAAGAGCTGGCATGTGTTTTTCTTGCTGTTGTAGTCTGTGGAGTGCAGTACAGTTTTGTCTCGCTTGAACTGCTGCCTGCCAGTGTTTAGCCAGTGCTGAATGTGTTGAATAATATTACTGATAATTAAGGCAAGGTCTATAACTGCTTGCCAATTATGAAAATATAAAATCTGACATTTGAAGGAATAGCTATTAAGTTTACTGACTTCAGACCAAGACTTGTTTTATTACTGTCCCTCTTGTGTTCGACAGAGAGACAAACCCCTGTACAGGGTTCCTGGTCTCTTCTCCTGCTGACTGCAGGAAGAGGGTAGGGCAGCTGGCTTCCCAGCTATAAGCATAACCTTTGTGAATTCTCTCCTTCGTGTTGGAAGAAGTCTTAATTGCGGAGACCTTATAATCAACTACTTGAATCTTTGTTGAGTACGTATACATAAATACAAATGTGGAAGTTGGCTTATTTTGGCCTTGTTTGTTTGGAAGCGTCATTCAGGTGACTCCTTGTGTTTGTTGGTGTAGCTCTTAAATTTGTTGCCATAGTGGTTTTAGCCTGAGTATGAATCTTAGAATCGTAGAATCATTTGGGTTGGAAAACACCTTTTAAGATCATCAAGTCCAACCATAAACCTAGCACTGCCAAGTCCACCATCTTTTTGCTTTCATAGCTTTCAGAAATGGTGTGCTCTTCCAAACGGTGTAGTGAAGTTGGCTGTGTGTGGAGTGGGTTTAGATGGATGCACATGGGAAAAATAAGTTTGTTCCACTGATTACTATTAGTGAATGGTCTGTAACCAAACCGGGACTGTATTTTTATGGGAAAAATATGATTTGACAGTTCTCCATCAAGTCTATAGTTTTCCCAGTTTGTACTCTGTGATATGTACATCTTAATCAGTAAAGCATAGTTTCATGCTTTAAAAAAGTGCTGTTTTCTTTTTCTAAAGGACTTGTATCAGGTAGTTGAACTTTGAACTTATTTTCTTTCTCTTCACCTTAAATTGCTGGGCTGGAAACCGGCTGTTCAAGAGCTGGTTCAGCAATAGACTTCATGCATCTGTCTCAAGGGCAGTGGCATACACATCAGATGGAGGGGTAGATAACAGAGCAGGTATGACCTGATAGGTTTCAGTATCCAGTTTTAATGTGCTGCCTCTCAGAGTCCCAGCTGACAGAGATGGAGTGGTGCCAAATCCAAAATGTTACAACTGGTTTTGTGTCACTTCTCAGGCTGTATTTATGAAAAGTAATTGTCCCGTGAATAACTACTACACTCGTATTTGGATGCTTTCACCCAATGGCTTCTTAGACACTTGCAAAGCCTCAAGTATTTCTCTTAAGCATTCTTGGTGGTGGCTGAATTCAATCATTGTTCTGTCCTTCAAGAGGATTTTTTTTGCTCGTGACGTTCACCTATCATAATTTATTAATAAAGCATGAAGTAGCTTAAGAATATGTAAAAACGCAAAAGTCTGTGTCAGTGAGCAAAGCAGAAGCCTCTGGATGCTAATTGGGGAGGTTGGATTCCAAATTTTGGCAGAAATTTTGGCAGTAATTTCAGGGTTTGTTTCTTGTGCGACATGGTTACGTCTGGAGCCCTGGCCATGCTACTCAGGATGTAAAAGAGAACCTTGTTTTTAGTGGTTGTGTGACATATCACTCAAGTACTAATTTGAAGTAGCGTTTTAAAAGCAAATGATAGGCTTGTGAAGAAATGAAGGCCTGGTTATATCCAGAAATAAACTCAGCTGTTTAGCAACTAAGCCTGCCATGGCAGTTGGTCAGATCTGGCTTTAAAAAATGGAATCCATAAAACCGTAGTGTATACTAGATCTGATTTACAGCCTCCTAAAGTAAAGAAGAAATGGCCATCAGCCAATTGAGAGTGAATACAGATGTTGTTTTACAGGATTTATCGTGCGATGCTTGAAACACATGATGAAGATGATGATGTTTTGTAGAGTTCATGGGATGTAGCAAAAGGCTTGAAGTAAACAGAAGTGAATGTTTCACTCAAGATTTTAGAACATAAATGTTCTATGAGTAGTTAAGAGAACTTAATATGCTCTGTTCATGGGGGAAAAGTAAATGCGTGTTTTCCCATATTAAATATAAAGTTTTAAATAGCATGAATTATGTGACTAGAATACACTAGAAACATTTGTTAAAATCTTCATTAGCTTCATACATCATGAATTGCATTCAGGGGGAAAAAATCTGATTAATTGAGTAAATTTAAACACGAAATGAGAATCAACACTAAATTAAGAACTATATAGTTCTTTTTTTCCATCTTTTCAGAACATTTTTCCATCTTTTCAGAACATTTTTCCATCTTTTCAGAACATTACTTCACTTAAAAAACACTTGACTTTGCATTCTGAATCTTTGCTTTAGAATTACTTTTTATCTTCTATCATTTCACATTAAACACCAAATTGTCTTGTTCCTTGCCAAGTAGGATGTTAAGACCAACAGCATTCTCAAAGTGGTCACAGCAAGCCTTTTCCTTCTCTTCAAACCTTTCTAAAGTCCTGAGGCAGGAGAAAGTTTTGAGGCAGGAGAAAGCAGGTCATGTGCTCCATGTCCTGGCAGAGCCTCTGTGGGACAAGAGTGTCCTTTTCTGCTCGTGGTTGTACAACTTGCTGGTGGGATGATGACTCTCTCTCCTTCCCACCGCTTACGGCAAAGGGGTCTGCAGCCTTTGTTGGTTGTGAAAAAATTTTGAGGTTCCTTTTTACTTCAGATGTGGCAAAAGAAAAATGTGGGGCATGTCTCCTAGCTTATACACTCTTGGAGTTTGCTGCCAGCGTTTTCTTTGCTGCTTGGCAGGCTCATTGCGTTCATGCTGAGAGAGGTGAGTTACACCTTGGTGATATGAGATACTTTCCACAAATTTTGAATTGCTAAAACATGTCAGTTTAGTATGTGAATGACTTTTGGAAGGAGTAAGAAATGTCCAGGAGAAGCAAGCCTTTTGAGCTGTGTGGACTCTATTCTTATTAGAGTAGGGACTATAAAGTAGGGTAAAAAAAAAAAAAAAAAAAAAAAAAGAGGACTAATTCAGCATATTTAAAATGGCACCGCTAGCCATTGAGAGTGTGCCAATCCTGGCAACTTTCCTGGTTAGCTCAATAAGCATTGCATGCAATCAAATACTCCTTTTAATTGGGAGCTTATTTAGCTGCATAACTTGAGGAGCCTAAGTTTTAAATGCCTTGACCTTTGCATCTATTTTGCTTGTACATCATAGATTCCTCTGAAACAATTTTCATATCATATTTTTATAGAAAGTAAGGTTGCTGTTCCTTAAGAAGCAGAGTTGTAATGTAGCAGAATCAGAAGTCGTCAGTCTCTCAAAGGCTTATTACAGTATGATAAATGGTGACCAAATATATTCATGGGTTATTTAAAAGCCACGTTGAAAGAGTGAGCACGTTCATTTGTCTCAAATGTCAGGAGACTGGATTTCTGCTCACATGCCTTGACATGTGCCCGTTACAGAAACTGAAGTATTTGCACACTAAATCAGGTACAGACAAGTATCCATTAGTCATACGACCCACTGCATGCACATACATGTATGTATATATATATAGTATATGTCGATACATGCGTACACGCATATGAGTATATGTACACTCCTACTATAGTCTTAGCTTTGAATCTGTCTTGTACTTCTGTTTTGATTGTGAGATAGGGAAATTGTGGAAAGAGCTGCAGGGAGCAGTGTGTGGACCCCCTAAAAATTGATCTGTTCTTGAATCTTCTCCATGCTCAAGTCTGAGCGTGTCCTCTGTAAGCAAAGCGTTGGGTTGGGAAAAGACTGGACGATTCTTGTCCTGCAGGCTGGTTCCTTCCACGCTGAATAATAGGAATAATCATAATAAACTAAAGTCTGTTTAGTAAATCCTGATAGCTTACTAAATTTGTATACAAAATTTTTTTGTTTGATTTTTATTTTGTTTTTCCTTTTTTTTTTTTTCCCTTACAGGAAATACTGGATAGATCCAACAATGGAGGACGGGAAGCCCGTTTGGGCTCCACACCCAACTGATGGGTTTCAGATGGGGATGATTGTGGACATCGGCACTGACAACTTAACTATTGAACCTTTGAATCAGAAAGGCAAGGTAAGGGTCTCACAAACAAAGGAATGGAGAAAAACCTTACAAAAAACATTTTACCCGTAGGCCAAATCTTTGCCAATATCTACAGTTACACACAGCCTGAAGGAGTGGAAAATCTGTTTTCTGATCTAAGTTTGGCTAAGGATCTTTGTTTAGCTTTAGCTTGCATTGCAAATGAAACATCCCACTGATACGAAGTGGGTGTTTTCTGTCAATTATCTGCATGTGCATTGCATATGTGCTCATGAAAGGAGGATTGAAACTCGTAGCCATTTGATTCAGTACTGTATACTTTATTTTTCTAAATCAGAGACTGGTTAAGAGTCTGCTGTTGAGATTAGTTTCTCTCTTTTCCCTTACATGCATAGAGTGTGACCTACAGGGGTGTCCTAGACGCTGGCTTAGATTAGACACCTTACTGTTAGATTGATGAAGATTTGAGAGATGAATCCTCTTACGTCAAGTACGTTGAGAAGCAACACGGTGTCAAACAAAGGTCCTAGGGAATTGCTACGTCAAATGAAAGGCAAAAATAAATGTAACTTTTAAAATGAAGTCCTAATTCATCCTAATTGGTGTGTTCCAACTGTTTCACTTATCGTGACATCTTTCAGGTTCAGTATGTCATAATTAAATGTCAGTTTTTATAGGAAGCATCTTGTATCTACCAATTATCCTAATTCAGATGGTCAGCATGCTGGTTTTTACCAGCCAAAATAAGATCAGACACTGTTTTAAAAGTTGTGATTTTGGTCTTTGTGAATATGTGATATGTGCCCTTTCTAACAATTTTGTCCTTTCTGTATCTTCAGGTATGGAAAAGACAAAATGTTTTTTCTAACTTCTTTTTTCACATCAACAATAGTAGAGAATGCCTTGTCACAGGTCAAAAGGTTATGCAGCAGTCCTTCCTTTTGGGGGAATGTTTATAGGACTTCATTTTTTTTTTTACATCTTGAAGAGGAAGTTGATTTTACTGTCCTTTAGAAATATAAAGCAAGCATAACATCTGATTTTTGTGTGTGAGAGAGAAAGTCTGTAGGTTTAGTAGTAGTAGTATGCATTCTTCTACTTCTGCTTCAGTTTGGGGAAGAGCAAAATTATTCAGAGAAGAATATTAAATATTCCAAAGCTATGGCTAAGTAGTCTCTAACTGACTTAAATGATTTTGACCCCTACCACTACTTCTGTTTATATCCCCAAATGGTTCTGATATGATAAAAAGTCTGTATATTGAAACAGAAACTGGCAATAAGGAGGTTCCGGAGTCGCTATTTATTTGTAACGTACCTCCTTTCAGGGGAGCATATGTAATTTTGGGGTTTTTTTGTGAAAACAAAAAATGACCCTAAAATACAAATATTCTGCTTCATGGTTCACAACAAACAATCTCTTTTGTCTAGAAAGTTTGCTGTTCTGCTATTGGCTGTTTTCTTAAATTAAGCAGATCAATTAAAGGCCTAATGTTCACTTATCTAAGGGAGCAAACAGTTTAAATAGCATAGAGATTATATTCCTATATTTCCATTTAGCAAACTTCCTTGTATTAATAGAGTTGGAATAAAACATTTTCTTGATTACCTTTTCAGTCTTTTCAGGGTGTCATTGATTTCTTTTTATAGTGAAATGTTTCTCATTGCTTTTTGTCTTTTTAAGAAGACTATGTTCTTGTGTACTTATACCATTAATTTGAAGTAGTCAGCATCGATACCCATTATTATCAACTTTGTTTACTTAACATGATAGTCCGAAAGTGCTCTTCAGTAAGAAGGAGTGATCCAGCAGCTTCGGAGTTACCCATGATAATTACAGGGAGGAGAGGAGTAACCTGATCTTGTAAACATATCCGGGCAGTGTAACTTATTATTATTTTTTAATCTGGGTCATTAACATGTCATATGCATTCTCTGTAGGTGCTGGTAGTTTATCAGAGATCACAGGCTGAAAAGAAAATATGTATGCATATGTTTGATTATTGCCTTTTATACCACTTAATGGTTAATGAAAATATTTTGTTAATAACTGCAATAAATGCTGTAAGGCAGCAGTTTTGTGATGTCTTAAAATCTTCCCTCCCTTCGCCACCCATAGCTAACTCTGGAGTTGCAGAGTGGTACCCTCTTGGCTCTGCCTGCCAAGCTGTGTGTGACACAGCAAACGAGGTCAGAGAGCGGATCCACCTTAAAAATGAAGAAGTGGAAAGTTTTCAGGACGGCAGCAAGCGGTGGCAGGAAGGACAGCGTGGCCGTAGGTTGCTTTGTATTATGAAACCAAGTTACCTGGTCCAGACTGGGTGAAGGTAGCTGGGCAACACGCTGATTTACTTAGAAACCAGCAATAGCAGTTTTGGGAACCCCAGCCTATACAAAGTTAACAGCGGCGTTTACATTTCTGTGCCGAGTCTGGATGTCTAAAGGGAGGTGGGGATCTGAGTCACCCAGCCTGCACGTTACAAGGGAGAGTAATCCAAGCCGCAGGAGTGTGTTACCAGAACAGAGGATGCATGTGTTACATGATGGGAGCTACTCCCCAAAAACTAGATCATCGTTTTGCAAGGCTGATAAATGCCATGACTGGAAAGACAACAGAGAAATTGGAGAGTAGTTTGCTAATGAGCATGGTCCCACCTACGACTGGAGCACTACCATGAGGATGGGCTCTGAACCGGACTGGGGAGCTGGGGCTGGGAGCCCTGGCCCATGTCCCGCCAGCAGTCGCACGCTGATGTACTAGGAAGGAGTACAAGGAAGGAGGCGGGTAGAAAGGCAGCCAGTTGTTACGCTCAACTGGTATTGCATTTACACTTCTACTTGGAGTGTACTTCTCTGAACTTACTGGGAATCCGAACCTCAGATCCTGTTGCATCTATTTGCATATATCTCATTTTGTTGTGTTGCTTGAGAGGAAGCTGCAGGGAGAAGGCAGATGACAGTGAAATTGCCAAACGTGAAATTTACTCTTTTCCTGGAGGTAGCAAATGCAAGTCAAGCAATCAGGAAGAGATGCCTCAGAGGGTCTTGCACCCTGAGATACCATCCTGGGACTCTCGTGGCACTGAGGAGTAGGAGACAGGCATTTCCTAGAGCACGAGCCGTAATGAGTTTCTGGCAGTCATTGGGAAGGCATGTGGTGTGGCAGGCACTGGCTGACACCCCTTCTGCAGTCGACTGAGAGACACCTTACGGCCCTGCGCCAGTTCTGAAGGGTCATGGAGGGCTTTATGAGGCACCTGCTCTGGTATGCTGTGAATAACCAGAAAGGTATTTTTCTGGGCTAAGTATAAATGAATAAATGCACTTTGAAAGTAAGGATCAGAACGTCCAAAGTTCAGTGTTTTAAGCTAAGAGTTTGGTTTTTTTTTTTTTTTTAGCAGTGAGCACAGCTTGCTTGCACAAATGAGACATGTTCTTGTCTATCTTACGCACCGTTTGTACTGCTTTAGGCTGGGTTGTGAAATACAGCCGAGAGGTAGGGATGTCTCCTGTCTGTATCTGGAAGGTATAAAGGGAGGCATGGTTACACGTATTGGATTACATGGTAGAAAGAAGATTCTACTTGAATGGAAAGATATCTTTTTTCACTCATCTAGTTTCTGGGAGAGTAGTTGAGATTGAGATTGCCATTGGATTTCAAGGGCTGCTTCATTACAGAGAGGGGGGAAAAAGCCCCCCTACAAAACCCCCTAAACACTCCGTTTGGGCTCCAGAGACCACTTTAGTGTCTTACCCTCTCCAGAACAAGTTTTTCCGAAGCTATGCCTTAATGCAAAAGTCTTCCACCAAATGCCTGAAGTGTTTTCTCCTTACAATAAATGTTTTAGGGAAGAAAAAAAAAAAAAGACAGTAAAGAATTCATTTGGATAATTTTTTATTAATAGACCTGGGATATCTTGCACGTTTTCCTGTTTAATATGTTAGATTTTAATAGTAATCAGCAATACTCAGAGCTCTGCACATCTAGCTAGCTCTTATATACTTACCTACATAACAAGCAATCACCTTGTATAAAGCAGTAGTCCAACTGTGACATACAGGAGTGAAATTCTTTGTTGATGTGGCTGAAACTAGGCTTCATGTTCTGATCTAAAAAAGTCTGACAGAAAAACATCAGCTTTCAGATAAGTCTTCATATTGTTTATTTGTTTTATCACTTCTGAAATATTGTAGAAATTAATTCACAATTCACATTGAAAAAATGAAGGAGGACATAATGCAACATGAATTCTCATTATTTTTTCCATTGACATTTATCTTGGATCAGAAGGCTGAGTGGTGAGGACATTGGAAAAACCCTCTTCTTTCCTTTTTGTCTGGTGTGGCTGGCTTTAGATCCATGAAATGTTAAAGTATCAGAGATTTGTGAAGAGTCTTACAGAATAGCTGGGTATTGTGTTCATTCTCTCCCGTGGAAAAAAAATTCTGTGTTAGTGGTTAAACTTGGGTTACACATCGGCAGACAAGAACAAGAAGTGAAGTTAGATTTTCATGAAACCGGTCATACTCTTTTTAAACTTTTCCACTGTTTCATGCACAGGGAACTGATTACGTGGGAAACTGTTGTGTTCAAATATATCTTTATGCAATGAGAGACACCTTTATCATTGACAAAATTGCAGAGAAAATTATGACGATAATAAGTTTTAACTGTGAGAGGGAGGAAAGGAGGGGGAGTGTCTCTGCCTGCTAAAATTCTGAATAGCAGCTGCAACTTTCTGTGGTAGGTAAAGACGTTCAGGTCTTCCATGGCTCCACCAGGCTCTGATAAAGGATATTTTGGAGGAAGCTGGTCTGATGACGGTTCAGATGTTCCAAGGTGATTGAGCAGTTCCATTTCCCTTAGGAAAGGTCCTTGTGCATATTTTTCTGCATTAGATCCTGATAAGGGGATGACAAAATACAATTTATTATGGCTACAGATTGCATACTTTGTGATAGCTTTGTAGGGAACGGATATCGTAGACTTACTGTTTTCTGACTGGCAGCAATTAGTTCTGCTCCGAGAACTCTTCCCATTTCAAAAGGAGTTGGAATTTGTGGCTGTTGGTGATGGTGTAAGCTACAAGAGCTCACGTGCTGTGTCTGTTGTACTGAAACGAAGATGAAGCAAGTTGCTGTCGTTCCCCTAAACTTCCTCGTGAGATGTTTCTCATGGGACTATCTTGCACAGTACAATGTTAGGCAAGCAAACATGTTTGTTTATTAAGGTCATTCTTTAGATCCAGTTGGTTGCCTTTTCAAATATTAGGCTAGACTTCTTGTCTCCATTTCCATGGGGAAAAGGAGACTGCGCCTGCAGCAGCACGGCGGCTGCCGTGTTTAATTGGTAGAGCAGGGGTTTTCTTCATTCATAGGTAGCTCAAACAAGCTATTACTACAGAAAACAAAAAAGTTTAATTAAAACCCTGCCTCTTACAATAGGTATTTTTGTGCAGATGCTGTAACGTGTGTGTGCTGGGATGTTGTTCCTTTTTTGTACAACAATATAAATTATGATTTCTGGAGAATAAAGAAGAAACAAAGTTGCTTTTGTTATGAATTTTTCCAGTTGGACGTGAACACTTAATAAATGGCTGTTTTGTATAACTGGAACGCAAGGGTTGAAGGAAGGTGTTACTTTACTTTAGTATTGATTTATCGGAGGAAAAAACCTCAACAAGCAACAACCAAAACTACAGTATTTGGAGATACAGAGGATATTATGTACTGAACATTTATATTTTAAGTAGGAATGTTTTAAAACAGCATATGATAATGACAGCACAGTCCTTTGACTGAACTAATAATTGGGTTTTTATTCTTTGTGTTTCTTCCCAAAACTAAGGAAGTTATGTGTCCTTTACAAAGCTGTTCCCTTTGCAATGTTTTTTTTTTTTTTACATTACACAATATTACAATATTACGTGCAATTTTGGAAATGAGCATCAGATATTACTGCAATAAAAATATGTATTACAGTGACTGCATTTTTTATAATGTAATGTAGTAATGTAAATGCAGTAGCTCCTTTCTGCATCTCAGTAAAATTTCCACTGCTGAAGTATAACGCTGGCAACCTCATTTTAAATCACATACAATTACAGTGCACTCACTTGTATTATCGCATCAGACATCTTTGAACTATATTTATATTTTCATGAAATTCTGACAATGTTAATGTTTTTCATCTTACAGACTTTCCAGGCTGCTATCAATCAAGTGTTTCCTGCGGAAGAGGACAGCAAAAAGGATGTAGAAGATAATTGTAAGTTATGAATTTAAGAATAAATTATGCATTTGAAAAAAATACCTGTATAGAAGAGAATATTGTTTCCTGACAAGCTTCCTGTTTCTTCCTTGTAGTCTTTGTTTTGTTTCTTTGCTTGTATTTATGTATGACCTTTACTAGTCCTGTAAATTTCTCAGTGTAAGCCCATTTGAAACATTATTTATTGTGTTTTCTAGTTTTTGGTTAGGTTAACACTTTTTGGAGGAAGTCACAGTTACATTATTCCCACGAACAACTGTTACCTGACTTCAGATGCGTATCAGATGTCACCTAATTGCATCAGGATCAACTGCATTCAGCGTTATGGGGGTTAACTATTAATTTTATAGTGCAGCAAAAGAATTAGTTGCTTTATCAGCAGCTGTATTGCAGAGCATTTTCCTGCGTGTAACCCATTTCTCAGATAGCATTCCTGTAGAAGTACAGGTAATTAAAAATAAATATTAAGGTAACCTTCCCAAAATTGGAGACAGGAACCTGGACCAGTCGAGGCCACTGGAAAAGGACATAGTGTATAGTGAATTGGATACAGGAGTGCAGCGGGAGGAGTTCTGAGGTGAACTTGTGTAATAAACTTCTGTGTTGATCTGCAGGGCTTTTATTTTGTTAAATATTTTATAGTTAGATGTGTAGAAAGAAATAATAGTATTCAAATCTGGGGAGAGAGAACCAAGAAAGGTGAGTAAGCGCTAGCATCAGCTTGTAGACAACTGTTAGACAGTATTTTGCTGCTGCTGTTCTGTGTGAGCACATCACAGAGCCTCTCCTGGCTTGAAAACCCGATGAAGGCAATTCTTTTAAACATTTCCTATGGTGTTTGCTGGTTGATAAAAATACTGATAACTTTGTAAATGGTGGGCAAAAGTATCTTCTATTGTTCTTTATTTAGAATAGAGGCTAGGGCTTTGAAAGTGGTTTATGTAATTTAACCACAATTCCTGTTTTGGAATAGGTGTTAGTATTTATGTCCCGTGACAGGAAATACAGCTGCTCCGTAAGGAACAAGATGATGAGACCTGAGGCTTGGGATCTGACTTACATGGTACAATGTCGTTACAGGTGGCACCAAGCTGGTAGCCTTGTTTCCAGCTGCTTATGTTTTTGCAAACGTTACATGGGTTGAAACTTTTCAAAGCTGGTATCTGTATTCTCTGCACATGATGATTATTAGGGAAATGCATTTAATCTGTGCATTTGTCGCAGTGATTTGACTGAGGTGTCCTGGCCCCTCAGCGTGCTGGAGTTGGGGAATTGTAATTTGGAATGAGATTATGGAAATAATTTGAGATTCCAGCAAAATACTATTCAATTAAGTTAAACCATTCTTCCTGTCAGAGGAAACGTCTTCTTTGGCTTACTGAGTAAAATATAAGATTTAAAAATGCTTTGTCCAGTAATCCTTTCTGTATCAAACATTATTTTGAGACTTTTCTAACATATTCTTACTTTTTTGTTCACTAATTGAGGTTTATCTTCAGGATGTGTGAAACCTGAATTAATTTTTCTTCTTCAGCATTTGTGTTGAGCATGTTGATCTTTAAGAAGCAACTTTATAAAATGCTGAGTGCTTTCAGTCTCTCCTTATAATACTGTTCTGAAAAATCCTGAAAAACTAGTTAATCATACACTTACCATTTCAACCTATGCTTTAGTGATTGACTCCCTTCTGGAAGTAATTTGCTGAGGTATTGCTTTTTTGCACCCTTAGTCTTTCATATTCCAGATGCGTTAGCTGCAAGAGATGCCTTTTTGAGAATCTAACCCTTCCTTAAATGTGAATTTTCAATAAATATTGCAAACAGAGACAAAGCATTTACTTTTATTCACACTCTTCTCCCCCTGTCCCAACTCCATTCAGTTTTGGGGGGTTGTCACCATATGTGGAATTTTAATTTTTTTATTTTATTTCTGGGGTGAAACAATTTAGAAAAAATGGGGGGGGGGGGCAGGGTATCAGATAAGAATCTTAAAAAAACCCCAAAAGTCCTACAGATGCAGAGCCTTGCAATTACTTGATAAAATTATTTTCCGTACAAACCCTGCTTCACTGTGTGCACAGGAGAGCCAGTGTAAGTGAATTTGACATAGATATTTCCTAGCTTTTAGTGCCTGACTTCACTTCTGTGAACTTTGTGCATGCACATAAGTAAATGTATGGTCTATTAAATGCAATACATACACTGGTTATATTTAGGCATGAGCTGTATGAATATTCAGAACTCTCTCTGGTGACTTCCTTTGCCTCTGGATATGGATGCCTCTTTGAAAGGATTTATTCTGAAGATACATTTTAAAGTTGCTGACATAAGCCTTAGTTTGCATGTCTTGAGTGAAGGCAGTGACATTCCCTCGGGGACCAAGCTGCTATTGTGCACTGAATCTACAGGTATAACTGCTTTAACAAGGGCTGGAATCCTTTTGCAAAGAGAGCACTGGGGATGCACAGAAATCTGGGGTCCTTTGTTGTTTAGATAATTATCAAAGTTTTTATTAGGATGCTTAGCTGATGACTGTTTCCCTTAAAACTTACTGCAAACCCTGAGAGGTTCTTATGAAGATTCAGTCAAGGGAGAGGATCGTTTCTTTAAGTGCATGTAGACAATTACTATATAGTAGTTTCTCAACTCAATACTGAGAATCCAAATGACTTAAAAAAATTAGCAAACTTCAAAAGTTAACACCCTGCCCTCCCCAAGCCAGATACAAGAGGAGAAGGAGATTTTAAGGGATATTTTGCGGAGGAAGATGTTTTCTTCTAAAGAACCCAGAAGTTGCAAGGTCCTTTGAGAAGCCTGAATGACTCCAGCCATATGAAGCAAAGCTACGTTTAGTCACGTAAGGGAAGGAAGGGCTCTTACTCAGTGGAGCTATGCAAGCCAGAGGGAGGCTGCCGATCGCCGC